GTGATCCATGTAGACTATTGGTCCTGCAGACTACTTTCTTCTCTAACTCTTTGGTTTCCTTCTTTATCTTTTTCTCCAGTCGAGTAGAGACCAATAGTCATATTTTAGATGGCTGCTTGCAAGGTTCTAAGACCCCAGACAACACTCACTCAACTAGGATGTAACCATACACTTTATGAACTATACTATGCTAACTGACTGAGTTGCCTCAAGAGACTATGGTTCTAATAATCCTTCACACCCAGAAAATCAGTCCCACAAGGTTATGTAACTGTGCTTCCTATGTGCTTTATTATTCTAGAGGCATACCTAGGAGATACTGCCAGTTTGGTTCCAGATCACTGAAATAAAGTAAATATCACAAAACAGGTCACGTGAAATTTCTGGTTTCCCTGGGAAGTATACTATACTATATAGTCTATTAAGTGTGCAATAGCATTATGAAAAAGTTTGAAATATTGTGAGAATTACCAAAATGTGACACAGAAACAGGAAATGAGCACTGGTTGTTGGAGAAATGGTGCTGATCGACTTGCTGGACACAGAGTTACCTCAAACATTCAACTTGTAAAACAAGCTGTTGTTGTTGTTGTGTGCAGTCGAGTCAGACCCAACTCATAGTGACCTCTTCTTGGGTTTCCAAGGCAGTATCACTACAGAAGTAGATTGCCTCATCTTCCTTCTGAGGAGTGGCTGGAGGGTTTGAACCGCCAGCCTTCTGGTTAGCAGTCAAGTGCCTTAGGCACTATGCTACCAGAGCTCCTAAGCAGTATCTGCAAAATGCAATAAAGTGGGCAGCAATAAAATGAAGTATGCCTGTATATATGAATATATATGCACACACACACTTATATGTAAATACATAGACATACGTTGTTCTTGTTCGGTGCCGTCGAGTCGGCTCCGACTCATACCGACCCCACTATGAAAGAATGAAACACTGCCCAGTCCTGTACCAGCCCCACAATCCTTGCTATACCTGAGCCCATCATTGCAGCCACTTTGTCAGTCCATCTCATTG